CCCCCCTCGTCGTTTTACGCCTGCTATAGACGCTAATAAACTGTGTATGTCTGAGTGTCATGCTCTTGTTTATACGCATCATTTGAATATTCTTATATAATTCAGTTATAAGCTACCGTTCGCTTTGGTTCTTTGCATATATGTAAATATAGCATTAAGGTGTTGATCGCGAAGCTCTATGTTACCAGTTTAATTTTATGTGCGACTACTACCTCCTGATAAAACAAAATACGTCATTTGAGTTGTTTCTCAAGTGAGAACAGACTTAAATTAACACTTTTTTCAATTATCCCCACACTCTTTTCCGAACTCACAAGATGGCTATGTTCTTGATTATAATGACTTTAATTGGAGGCTTTTTCATAGCGCCCAGGTAGGCTAAGAATCATTTATCCGTTACTAGTTGTTGAATTTTTCACGGTAGGGTAAAATTAATCAATTGGATGAACTTTGGACAGTTCGTAAATGTAGAAGGTACGGTTGTGGCTCACAGTAACCGTGTATGAGTTTTTTGGTTGCTAAGAACCAAAAACATCATATAAAATTTGGGTGATTTTTGTGTGACCACGCGATGCGATTCCAGACAAAGACCCACATTTTACCCACAATTTATATGTTGATATCTTTGCTTTGAAATGTATATGGGTCAGTAAATTCCATTCCAAGAGGATTTATGGGCCTGGTGTCATCTTGCAGTGGTTTCACTAATCCAGTCTCGTCTTGCTTGAAAACTAAAGATCTTTGAAATCAAAAGTGTTTTGTTAATTACTGAGGAAAAGCGCCTTCTCGACGATGGAATTCTTTTTCAAGAGCTCAAGACTCGCGAGTATTTGTTTTGCAAAGATTGAACTAATGGCCTTCTGATGTGAAGTATATATGAAATAATTCATATTTGAACTGCGGTTGTAGATGAAAGTGAAGAATGATCACCGCAGTAAATTTTCCAATTTAAGCAANCGTTGAAGCCTTGATTTTTTTCAGGCTTCTTCTTTCCAATTGCTTAAATTGGAAAATTTACTGCGATGATCATTCTTCACTTTCACTTTTAATGGCCTTCTCTTACAATTCTAACAACATTTTAAAATCCTTTAATGATAACTGAATTGAATTGAGAGCCCTTTATTTTATGAAGTGTTGAGATTCCCACCATGCTGTTAAAAAACAAAAACACATGTACCCCAGTTGTAATCGACATTTAAACCACTTGAAAACAGCCATCGCTTACCGTTTCGAAGGCAACAATATGCTTTTTGTGGAATTTAAACTGTTTGACAAGTGCTAGGAGATTAAAAGTTTGTTTTTAATTACTTCATCATTCAACCGCAAATTACGGTAAAATGCTTTAACAGCTGTCTTATGAGGAAAAAAAACAAACAAGTTGAGGACGTTTGCACCCAAAATGTTCCCACGTAGATACATTTTTAGTATTTGCCATACAGTAAGGTAAAGATCAACGTTTGCGAAAAAGACAAAAAAGGTGGGGGTCACCGTGTTCGTTTCCGACATAAGGCGCATCGAAGACCATGCCGTTGTAGATGATATGTTTTCAGTTAATTTAAGACGATATTGGCTTACAACTATCAGCAATAAAAGAAGCTCATTAGTGAAATTTTAATCAGGTAAACGTACTCAATTCAACACAACTGAGCATATTTCGTAATTTTTTGCGGCTGAATTTGTTCCTTGAGATAGAATAGGCCTTGAAAAAAATAGATATTTGCCTTGCTCGTCCACATTTGCTCGCTCGCAAGAGAGCAGAAAATGCAGATTTTTTTGTTAAAATGGAGAGAATCAGTAAAGGAAGTGATCTATGAAAAGGAAAGAAGACGTCACGGATTATTCAACGGAACAAATTGTAGGCGAAGTTCGCACACCTGGTGCTGAGCCCTATGCTTGGTTATACTTCTTCCCTAGAACGCGCGCTTGATCAGTATGACGTGGCGTGACGTTGCCACATGGATTAGATACGCAGTAAGGATGCACAGTAACAATGAGCGCGAACGTCCTTAAGTGAAAGAAGGGTTGATTTCATTTTGAGACAAACGTTATGTAGCCAACAAGCCAAGTCACAATTGGCTATTTCCGAGTTACCTTGTGCCTCGGGCAAAACCTCTCCTATAAATATGAGTTTGATTTGATAAAAATGAATCAGTGTGCGGAACACATTTTCATATGTTCTCATATGAATGGTTTCTCTCGAAGACTCGTTTTGACCCAGAGGCACAACGCAACTCGAAAATTAACACTTCAGAGTTATTTCAGCACAAACCTCCATTTTCTATTAAGTTTTGCTTTGGTTAAAGCAAAACTTAATAGAAACCGGACCGGACCCTGAATCAATCAAAGTAGCCATGAATCACCCAACTTGGAAAATGATTTATGAATGGCTCAGAACTGGATTTTCATATTACTCCATAGGCCATGGGTCCAACTCCAGGAGATTCGTTGTTCTTTTTCTAATTTTCTTTTCATGACGAAATGTAGTCGGTCGAAAGTGATGTATGTCTTAACAGTTCCACGAATGAGAATCCATTGCCATCAACTAATAGCACATTTCTGAGTTGCCTTAAGCCTCTCAATCAAAGCGAGGTCTGGTGCACGTCCATTCGTATGAAAACGAGTTTAATTTGCATGTGAATTAAATCTCATTTTCATATGAAAGGATGGGCACCAAGACTTGCTTCGAGAAAGCGGCTAACGGTAATTCGAAAATGGCCTATTCACCTGGTGAGAAAATCATATCACCCCCACTTGAACAAGCTCAGCCGCGACTTCTTCGTCGGATAAGTGACACAGGTTAACTTGAAGCAGCCATTAATTCGAATTCGCACGACTTGTGACTCACTTGAGCCTGCTGTACTAATTACCCAGCGTTTGAGTTTTCTGCCCGCACAAAATGTATTATAGATGTGGGAGCAGTGGAGTAATCGTCCGCCTCGCATGCGGGAGTACATGGGTTAAATGGGTTCGGTTTCGCATACTTTTATCTTTTTCATTGTTTTTCCTTTTTCTTTCTCTCTTTTAAATAAACGCATATGTTCATCTTAGGAAACCATTTATCGATAGGCGTTTGCCTTTCCGTTTCTCGTGTTCAAAAAATTATCTTGAGCTTTTAATCATTCGAGAATTCGTCGAGTATTTCGATCGATTTCGAACTCAAAATATGCTAGCCTTTGTTGCACCCTAAGCGAAGGAAAAACTATGAAGTCTTTCCCTTAGAAACAAATATAATTGCGACTTGTGTCCTGGTGTAGTCAGTCGACGAATCTGGGCACAGGCCGCCATTCAGCTTCTATTGAACAGCATTGAATGAGCCTGTAAAAAAAAAACCACACTCGTACTGTCGACGACGTCTTGAGATTCTAAACTGAAAACATTGCTCCGAAACTCACTTGGTGAACAAATCGTATCGCGCGCTGACAGCTAACTTATGCGCAAGCTACTGCGAACGCTTTATCTAATGGTCAGCGGATTTGAACAAAATTAAATTAAAATAAATTAAAGCATTCTGCCGATCAAGCAACATGCAGTTTGCAGCAATAAGCAACATTGCAATTTTTGAAGCTGCACATTAGTATAACAAAGACTTTTTTGTTGTTTAAGGTATGCATCAGCTGTAAAATGCGCAGTGTCCCTTCCTCAGCACTCAGATTCCAATCCAGTCTGTAAGGCTGTCAGGAATGCTGCTCTTGCTGAAAACAAGAAGACATACACCTATAAATATGACCCGGAGTTGCATGGCTTTGCTTTGTTAAACATGACCTCAGAGCAGCTGGGACAGGTTGCTCTGAAAGACCCATTCATGAGATACTTCACAGTGGCCTACGTTGGAGTAACAACAGCTTCCAATAAACTCTTGGAAACGTATTTGAACATGACGGCTGGACAAGAATTCAGCGACACCTCAGACTATCTCGCGTTGTCCAAGTTTTTTCAGTCGACTCTGGAGCCTGTAGTTGGGGTGAATATTAGATTTGAATATAATATTGTTCCTGTTATTTTTGATCGGCACGATTCTGTTTCGGACGTGAGTGATAGTAATGGGCCTAGGTACTAGGTCTGACGGATAATCCAGGCTCAGTCAACCAAAACCAAACACAAGAGATGAGACTAATCAATTTCATAACCACCTGGCTATAGAAGTAATTAAAATCATAGATATCTTTTTTAACAATAAATATTTTTACCTTTCGCTTGATTCTAAGCCGAGGATAAAATAACAGACTTATTTAATTATTATAATTTTTTTGCTTTTAGGAATATGTGAGGCTACCATCCAAACACGAGGCGTTTATTAACGACAAAGATGAATGGATCAGTGACAAGTTTTTCACTCAGCAACGCCTAGCAGGAGCTAACCCCATGTCAATCAAACGAGTGATTATTCCCGGAGAAGGTAAAACGGTCACCCACATGAAGGCAAACACAGAAGTTACGTCACCTTGAGTAAATAAATGATGAAGGTTTTCACGTAGATATTGTTCTACTTTGATAGCAGCAGACACTGTTGTTAACATCTGCAGAACGTTTGAAAACGCTTCACCGTTTCGCTGAATGACGTTGGCCTTGGTAAAACCTAAAACTAAAACAAAACATAAAAACAGTTTGGTTTGTGATGGGTGTTTTCCATCCAACCAAAAACGCCGAAGAAATGGTACGGAAATTTCCGGAGAAAGTTTCCAGAAATTCCGGAAATTGTTGAATTTCTGGAAAGCAAACACTTCCACCGAAAATTCCAGTAATTAGTAATTTACTAAGATAGGAACCCACCAAAGACTGATAATAATAAAGCAGAAAGGAAGGAGAATGGAGAAGATTAACACGGACTATGAGCGACTAATCTGAAAACTTTTAGCTTAAGACGTAATCCGATAGAAAATCGAGCAATTTCAGGTTTTAGTGGACAAAAATCTGGTACCAGAATAATTTTAAGTATTTTACAGTCATTTTTACATTTTCTTAAAGCAAAATACATGAATAATTGCCTGAAATAACACCGAAAACAATTTCCCATGAGAACGAGAGAAAATAAATTTCAAAGTTCAGAGAACTTGTGCAAACACAGGCAAAATTTCATCATCAGTTTCATTTCACCAGTGCTTTCAAGTGTTTCATACGAAGTTCAACATTCGTTTTCGACGTTTGGTGTTGCTAGAAATGAATTTTTTTGAGCAGATATTTAAAACAGTCGTACAGAAGTTTGCAATACGATGTATATAATCTTGGTACTAGGTTTTGTCCACTTCTTACTCAAACTTCTGGTGAATTCTGTCTTAACCTTTCAAGATGTGCAAACCGTGAAGTAGCTCCTTAAGGACAAAACTTGATGATGATGCCGATGATGATGATGATGATGATGACATTGCTACCGTTGTAATTTTCCTCACAGAAAAAAGGAGATGCACAGTAAAGACAAAAGATGGAAGATGGTGTCATTTTCCCTTTACCTTCCAAGGGAAAGTTCATCACGAGTGTATCACTGATTCTTACCATAAAGCTTGGTGTTCAACTACAGAACGATACAAGGGTAGATGGGGTGTTTGTCAAGGTAATGCTTTCAGAATCCAGATTTAAATAACAAAATTGTTGGAAATTTGTACTATAACTTTGAATTGTTTAATTAATTTTTTGTTTGTTTTGTTTGTATTTGTTTAGAGAAAGAGGACATCGAAGAAGCAGAACGTAAGTCATCTTTTAAACTAGTCCCCAGTTCCCCGACTGGCTTGCGTGCCGGCCAGTCTCTTAAATCGAAAGAGGCAAGAGGCCAAGACTGTAAAGTGCTAATTTTCAGTTGAACCGGTATTTTTTCATCTTAAGCCCTGTCCACACACTACGCCGGATAATTTTGAAAACTGAGGTTTCGCTCTGAAAATGCATCAAGTGTTTTCTGTTCACACTGCGTCGGAGAAATTTGAAAACGCAACAATTGGTGGTCATTTTGGATTTGTGCTTGAGGAAACTCTGGCAGTGAAATCAAATGATGATTATCGTGATGTCATCGTTTTAGAAAACTCCGTTTTCAAACTTTTTTCTGTCTATATACTAAAACGCAAAGCCGGTGTTCTCAAATTCCTCCGGTTTGTAGAGCATTTTTGAAAGCTCCTTTTTCATGACGGATTAGCGTGGAAGGTAGGCCCAACCGTGGAGATAAAGCTGCGATTTCAAATTTCTCCGACGTTGAGTGGACGAGGCTTTAGGCTAGGGAAAATTAGTATTGTTAGCCCCATGGACACCGTTGAGATATATATGTTTTTAACTTAGTAAATTGTTGATGTTACACTTTCAGAAACGATGGACTGTACCGTAAAGACAATAAAAGGCGAATGGTGCCATTTTCCATTCACTTACAAAGGAGTTAAATACGAGAAATGTACAGAAAAGGATTTCTATACACCGTGGTGTGCTATAAATGACAAATTCAGATGGGGCATTTGTGAAGGTAAATATTTACCCCTTTACCGTTACTTTCAAGGCTTCTCGTAAGACATGGGTGCGTTGTAATAGACTGATTTCTATAAACTGAAATTCAGCTTGGCAGTGAGGCCTAGAGGACAAAAACAAAGGAAATTGAATTACATGTTTATTAGTTTCTGTTGTTTGTGTCCTCCAGGCCTTACTATCAAGCTGAATTTTAATAGATCGAAAGTGACCTATTAGCACGAGAGACAAAACGAGTTTTTTTTGTTATTGATCGACTCTACAGAGTGTTTCCACTTGACTTGATGGTCCAAAACACAATGGAACGGCGGCCACGTTGGTGTCCCAAACCTACCTCTGGCTCAGTACCAATTAGGAGTTTTCCTGAGAAGAAGTTCCTACTAAAGTTATCTTTAAATTAATAGAAACCTACACTCAGTATGGAGCTAAAAAACGAACATTTAAGAGATAATAAATGATAAGGGAGAAAATTGAGACAGGAAGTAATGGAAATTTTAGGCAACATTCGCTTTCAACATAGCCCTACTGTAACCCTTGTTCTCCTTCTGGGATATATTTATGCAGCTGTATCCCGAAGCTATGCAGTCCGTTTTAGTTTTTTATGACTGACGCGCTGGAAGCTGAGCTAAAGCCAACCAAGAGGGTACTCCAGCAATAGTTACAAATTAAAGAGCTCGGATAACGTTTGATGTTAGGTGTTTGATGTATTTCAAATTCTACTCCAGATCTGCAGCAGGCCCTTCGGCTTTAACAACAAAACAGTCATTCGGAGGGATTGGCCTTGGGGATTTGCGTTAATATTGTGACAGAGAAACAAAAATTTAAGTTATGAAGCCAGCAGGAGCTGGCGAACGGCAAGTTTCGTTTATACCCGTAATATGACTGGACAGCGAGTTCTTTATAACATTTTAAAGGACGTTTTGGGCAATTCAAACAACTCAGCTTTGCGTACACACAATATCCGAGATCCGACGTACAGGTTTGGATAGACTCGCAAAGGTAATTTCTTCATCCCTGAAGCAGAATACCTTTTCTTTCAGAGAAAGAGGTCGAAGAGGAGAAAAAACAGGAAGGTAGGTTGTAATATAAATGTTGAAAAACTATTCTTGTGGCAACAAACATAACTTAATGTATGTGATATAGAATGCAACAGCATAGCGATTTATCTTCACGTGCATGACCCTTTTATAGCTGTCTGAAGCCAGTTTATCCAAGATAATGATCACGTGTTATCTCCTCAGAACCAAAGGGACTGGACTGGAAGGAGTTGGAGGAAACGCTAAATCCTGAATTTGACTGGGAAGCCGCTGTGCAAGCGGCCCTGAAGACTAAAGAATCTTTGGAAGATGTATGCTCTCTTTTTGCACATTTCTTGTAACGTTAAATGGCGAATGAGAAAGCAATCCTCTTCCTGCTTAATTTAAAGGGGTGCATAAGTTACAAGCAAAGTTTTTGTAATGCGCTCGCAATTAGAAATTAATGATAAAGGCGTTTCGGAGTTCTCATGACACCATCTTCAAGTTCAAAAAGAAATTACAAATTACACCCTCAGACTCAACTCGAACCAAACTATTTGTGTGACACTGTATGTTGATTAATTATTTAATATGATAATCTTTTTCTGACAGTTTATTTCTTATCTTTTTTAACTTGAAAATGGTTTCATACCTGCTACGAAACGTCGAGCGTTCGATTTTATCGTTAATTTTTACTTGCTTCTATAAGTTATGATAGAAAACACAAATTCACTTCCTTTCCTGAGAGCCCAAGCTCTTCTGGAAACGTTTTTATTTTTCCATTGTGACATACGATGTTATGGAAAACGTTGTTTTATTGTGGCAAAATGTTTCTTTTTTCAGGCGATAAGCCAAGGCCGGTTATACGTTCTTCGTTACGAGCTTTGCGACGACATGGTGAGGTCTCCAGACCTCACTGATCAAGATCCTCGAAGAACCATGTTGGACTTTCTATCTCCCATCGCTTTGTTTGCATCCGCCAAAATTGGTCAACACAATGAACTTGTGCCCGTTGCCATACAAATGGACTACGAGCCAAGTTAGTAAGAATCCACCGACATTTATATTATTTTCATTCCTAGGTTATAACTCAAGTTCTTCATTTGCCCGGGTCAATAAAATAGGGTTGTTCTTGACACACGTTCAATATAATGTTCAGCTTTTCCTCACGTAATTCTTACTGTTTATTCAGTTGGAACAAATAGACAGACGGACAGACAGACAGATGGTCACTGTAACGTTAATAGTGGAAACGCTTAGTACGTATGTTTCCGATCAGTGGGGGTTGCTTTGTATTATTCGTTCTGCGACACGTGAGTTTCAGATAACTAAAAGTTACCTATATTGATTTAAACCCACTTGGTTTCTAACTTTTTTGCCCGCCAGATTCAGCCGTTTACACTCCGAAAGATGGAGACAACTGGATGATGGCCAAACTTAATGTTCAAGTCACGGATTTAGGATACTCCCAAATTGTTGAGCACCTCGCTAAGGTATGAACAGCTCAATTTTTGATCTTCAAGAAAATGAGAGCTTTCTAGACGCACGCAGTTCTCTATAATATCAGTGGGAAGTAAAGCCATGGTCTCCAACTATATATGATGTAGTTTTCCCAGAGACTCCTGCTGTTTTACCCTGTGCAGGTGGCGTGCAATTGTTAAGCACCTCTGATCAACATCCATTTTGTTTCAGGTCCATTATTTGCTGGAACCATTCTGCCTCTCCTTAAAACGCACCTTACCTCCCATGCATCCGCTGAATCAGATACTGAAGTTTCACTGCCGGGAGTTACTTGTCCCCAACACTTTTGGAACTCCAGCATTGGTGAACGAAGCGCGGTTCATGGATCTCCTTTTTGCATATGGAAATGACGGAGCAGTAAGGCTTCTTCGTGACGCACATCCATTCGCCACTTGGGATGTAACAGATTTCAGACGCAACATCAAGGTACAGCTTGCTAAACATTCTTTTAAAATGAGAGCATCCAGCATTTGAGGCGCGGTGACCTCATGGTCAGAGTTTTCGACTCCGGATTGAGTGGTCCGGGTGCGAACCCTGGCAGGGGACAAGACACTTTATACTCTTACTCTCCACCCAGGTGTATAAATGGGTACCGGCGATATTAATGCTGGGGGGTAACCCTGCGATGGACTAACATTCCATCTAGTCTGACTGCATGTCTGTCTTAATTCCCTCCTGTTTATTTTCTTCGATTGCGTGCTGAAGTTAACATTTTTTTAAAATTTAACAAGGAACGCGGAGTGGCCGACAAGAAGCTCCTGCCATACTTTCCTTTTCGAGATGATGGTGAAAAAATCTATGAAGTTATCGAAGACATGATAAAGAATTACGTGAACTTGTAAGTGAAACAAACATTTAAACAATATTTAAGTGGCTCAAACAGTTTCCAGCACTTTCCGAGAATTGATGCTACAATCATGGTATCAAAAAACTGCCCAGTCATTGGTAAACACGTTGTCATCATTTTCGTGCAACAATAGGTTACGTAGCAACGGTATGAACTGATGAAAAAAAGCCCTTAATTATAGCTTTAAAGGCTTATAATTCAAAAACGGCACGGTGAAATCTTTTATATCATCATATTTTGATCTGAGAGGGATAAGACGCAACTTTTGGGAGAGCTTTTAAAACGTCTGTACGTGGGATTCAGGGCCACTTTAAAGCTAAAATGTGTTTATTTTTCAAGTTCACACTGGCCCTTTTGCAGAATTTCAAATAGAGTGGAATGTTTCCTAAAATGCTCTTAGGTAACCTAGAACCGCAGTCAAATTCTCAGCTACTGAAAAGCGACAACAAACGCACTCAGAAGCAAAAATAACAGGAGTGGTGAAAAAACTTGGAATATTTTTGCAAGGGACGATACATTTTACAATAAACCGCTGAATTCTTTCATCACAATAAAAGAAAAGGCAATAACTGAATCACGACATTACATTATCCTTTCTCTCTTACTACCTGTCGTAAAACTGCAGGCGAGTTTTCGCTATTTTCAGAGTTCAGTTTGATAATGAGATGTATGCTTGTCTAGGTATTATAAGGAGGATGAAGATGTGACTGAAGACGTGGAGCTTCAGGCTTATCTGAATGAAGTGTCACTAAACGGAACTGGACCAAATGGTGGCCTTGGAAGGGTAAATATGACAACAACAAAAAACATAAAACTTATTTTTAATTAAGATGTTGCTTGTGTGAATTTTGGTACACACCTTTGCTCACAGAGCACATGACGTTCAGAGTTTCTGGCGGCTTAAAAATACGACGCCCCGTTTTGCTTCAACCACTTAGGTTTGATGTCGATTTGGTTGGTGGAAAAATGTCCCACTTCCTGACACCATACTAAATTAGCTTAAATTAATCGGCCGCCTTTTACAACTTTTTAAGATTCTAGTTACCCTATCCATCTGTGACTTTTCTTTTAAATTTTCGTTTGAACTGCGATAGAAAGTAAAGAAAATTTGCAGCTATGATCACAGCAGTTGCACAGTTTATCTTGCAATTCGCTTCGACTTCCAGCCCCGCTTTCCCAAAGACTGCAGTGTTAACACATACAGAGTTTTTTTTTTTTAAAGCAAACGCGACGGCAACCCCTAGGACAACGTCGATGAAGAACGAATTTATATTCAAAGTACAAATCCCGAAAAAATCTAGATTCATTAAGTTTGTCTATCACTGTTAGAAGTATCCCAAACCTGAATATGTAAGACATGCTTAAAAATTCGAACACGAAGTTATAAAACATTGGCTACCGCGGTTCATCTTCTGTAGTCTACGCAAAATTTGGTCATTCCGCGTTGTTTTTTCAGTTGTAGAGAACGCCAAAGAAATCTACCAAAAATTATACGGCACTTGCGCAGCCATAGTAAACCTTGAACTTTTTGTTTAGCGACGTTCTCGTCCCGTTGTGGCTTTCTCAGGCCACGTTCACACTGCACTAGAGAAATTCGAAAACGGTGTTTTCACTCTGAAAACGAATCCAATGTTTTCAGTCCACACTACGCGGGGGAAATATCAATTTGGATTTGTGTTTGAGGAAAACTCGGTCAGGAAAATCACACGATTATCGTAATGTCATTGTTTTCGAAAATCTCCGTTTTCACAATGTTTTTTGTCCACCCTAAAACGTTAACCCGGCGTCTTCAAGTTCCTCCGGTTTGAGGAGCGTTTTCAAAAAACTCCGTTTTCGTGACGGATCAGTGTGGAAGGTAGGCCTAACCGTAGAAATAAAGCTGTGTTTTCAAATTTCTCCGGCGTGGTGTGGACGGAGCCTTAAACTCGCCAATAACGTTTTCGAAAGTTATGACGAATCTCTGGATGGTAATTCAGATGTCGGTTTTTTTTTTATAATAACTGCTGGAATTCTCGCGCGCTCATTGCCTAATTTTCATTGTCAATAAGCGGTCAGAAGCGTGAATTGATAATCTATGCTATGTTGACGCGAGAATTTGTTATTGTAAAAAACAAATTGACCTCAATTTTTCATGCGTCTGTCCTGTTATTGACCATGAATTTCGTCTTAACATTGTCAAAGTAGTCTGCTTTACTACTTGACGATGTTATGACAAAATTCATGGATTAATAACAGGGCAGACTCATGAAAAACTGACGTCAATTTGTTACCTTTGTGTTTTTAAATTCGTTTGTAACATATAGCTTTCGTTGTGGTTCTTAAGCATGGTAACCGTAACGTTATCCTTCAGGCAATCGCTCCTACAACACGTGATTTCGAGAGCCAGTGAGAATCGTTTAATTCTAATATGGCCTCGGCCGTTCATAAGCCTTTGTTTGTTGTTCCCCTTCGCCCATTACAGCGGCTTATTTCTACGCCATTTGGGAGTTTTTTGTCCTCATCGAGATCTCAATAGGAGATTGGTCTACACGCTTCACTTGACCGAATATTTCCCTCCAGCTAGACCTGGGGAATATCCGAGTAATATTTCCCAATTTTGAAATCTCGGGTGTTGCGAAAAGTACACAAAAGCTCCCATTTGACTTTACAAATATGCTCGAATATTACCCCATAGACATTATCCGTTACTCGAAGCTAACAGTTTTCCTCAAGCTTCGCTCTCGGGAAACCGATCACTAATCGGAACAGACAATGTCCGCCGACAAATATCCGCGAGCATATTTTCACGCCAAATGGAGGCTATTTAACAAATTGACGTCAATTTTTCATGCGTCTGTCCTCTTATTGATCATGACCTTCGCCATAACATTGTCAAAGTAATTGTGGATCCACGAGGCGATCGCCTCGTGGATCCACAGACTACTTTGACAACGTTATGAGCAAATTCATTGTCAATAACAGGACAGACGCATGAAAAACTGATGTCAAATCGTTTTTTTACCATAATAAAGCAAACTGTCCGCTCTCGCTCGTTGACGCATCGTATAAATTATATTATAACATAACTAAAGCAAAGCGCGCGCTCTGATTGGTTAATTTAGCGTCTACTATTTGCCCATGGGTATACGCTGCTGACGTGTGTGCTAATGTTTACAAAGCAAATCCTTTGACAGACATTGTTTCCAAAGTAATGGTCGACGTCCTTCTCCCAGAAATGCGAAACCGTCTTCACAGTTGTGTGAAAATGATCCTTCATCGAGTTACTGGTGTGCAGTCGGTTGTCATGATTGAATTTTCGCGCGCTTGTTTTCTCTAGTCATGTAAGACTACACGAACATTTTTTTGTGATGTAGCTCAATAAAAGGACTTCTGTTGTACCAATGTCTCAATGTTATGTTATAAAACAAATGGTAAACGCCATAGCGTGTACTATTGAGTTATGGATGCTCTTGGGAGGTTTGCTAAGCACTCGAGAAGCTAGAGTCGCACTCGGCTATCGCATTGTGCGACTCTTACGCTTCTTTCGTGCTTAGCAACCTCCCACGTGCATCCATAACTCAATAGTACACGCTATGGCGTTTACCATTTGTTAAAATTCATGCGTCTGTCCGCTTATTGACAATGAAAATGAGCCAGTGAGTGCGCGAGAATCTCATATATACCAGGTATTTATTTAAATGGCACACGTAATGTGAGGTCTCTTGTTCTTCTGAACAGATTCAAGGTTTGCCTCCAAGAATTGATTCCAAGGAAGAACTCTGTGACATTGTGACCCGCATCATCTCTCATTTGACGATTGGGCATGCCGCGGTCAACTACGAGCTCTCAGACTATGCTGAATACATACCCAACCTTCCGACTAAGCTGTACAATGACACCAGAGCGGAAGAAGGGGAGTTCTCTGTTTATTGGCTGCCTAACAGAGCTACTTCTGCTGTAAGTTGTCGCGTATTAGATTGAAAAAAGGGGTTTTGAGAGGCATCACAGGCCAGAAGCCTTTCTAAATCCGAAGCAGCTATTTTAATATTTAAAATATTATCTTAAAATATCCCCAAATTCAGAGAATTAATTGGGGAAATCGTTAAAGGAGTATCATTTGCTAGCAGGCCTTAAGATAAAAAAGTGAGGAAAATGTAAGCTGGGAAAGCTATTGCGGTGGAGTATACGGAGACTGCTATAAATTCTGCCATATATTTTCCTCAACAGCTGCAACATCAGAAGCTTTCATTTCATCTAATTTGTTCTCTTTATGAAGGGAGAGAACAACTTAATCGGCGAAAACTCTTTATAAGTTAGCGTTGTTTTCGTTGTTCGTTACAGTGCAAAAACCACGGGGGGAACAGCGACATGTTTTTAAGTCAATGAGCGGTTCAGTGCTACTTAGGCAGCAAACCCCTCTCACGAATCTTCTTTCCTTACTGCGCAAACTTGACGATGCGAGTGACTCTCGAGAGTTCCTTTACAGGCTCGATTTTCTTTGGTTTCAAAAACAACGGAAATGATCGTGAACGGAAGTAGAACACCAGCAACTCGATGGAACCACGTGTTTGTCATCTAGGCATGCGATTAGTTCTGACTGCAAGTCCGATATTTTGGACTTCCAATCAGAACTATCCAGGGTCGCTCGTCTCCCAACCGCTGGGAATAAAAACTCTGGGTTCAAGGTTGCATAAGCAGTACAGTAGCAAAAGTCAAACGGTTTGTTTCGTTTGAATTTTCAGATCGAGGCCAGCTTCAGTAATTCCCTGGCGACTTTCCGCTTCGATTCCTTGTTTGACTACGGCAACGAACTTGAGGACAACAAGGCTGTCAACCTCGTCAATGGTTACTATAGTTACCTAATGCATAAGATTCAGCCTCTCTTGCAAGAAGTAAACCAGAAACGGGAGAAGAGTGGTCACCTGACCTATCCTTATTTTATTCCAAGATGGCTGCCGAATGGTATACATACTTAGGAAGTTCGTTTTTCTCGTAGGAGGTCGCATGCGATACAAGCTGCGATCTAAGAAGAAACAACACTAATCGTATTGCTTATTGAATGTCTCGCGTTAAAGCGTGGGTAAATATTGTCAAAGCTGTAGAGGCGGCACTGCTCTGTATGTGTTGTTAACAAATGAGCTTTGAAGGTCAATTAAATGACTTGTGGGCATGCGTGCTTGTTTTTTGTCATTCACTCTCGTGTTTTTCTTGTTGTTATTCTTGTTTACTCGCGGACAGACTCTTAGAGTTTCCTTTTACAAATATTCAATGCATGTGCCCCCGTCTGGAACGTGGCAGTCGTCACACCGTGTAAGATGGGTACGGATCGGGGAATGCCGGGCAGAAACGCAATGGACTTGCATCTCATCCAGGGAGGAGTACCAATACACCTAGCCGCTTCATAAGTAAATAATAAGATGTCTTAATTGGTCACTCCTGTAAGGGGGGCTTTTAGGGCCAATGGAAACAAATAAGGAAACCAATGATGCAAATAAACAGAACAAGGTTAAAAATCCCAAATGACAGGAGACAAACCATTCTGGTGAGATTGCACGATAACAGTTGGGAGCTGGGAACTTGATTTCGTAAAGATTTGTCATGTCAGACAACATGTGTGGGAGAGGGAAGAGAGCGCGGTACCTGACCCAACTTGTACGAACGATGTAGCTCCCATATAAAACGGTGTAGCTCCAATATAAAACGGTGTAGCTCCCATATAAAAGGGTGTAGCTCCCATAAAAAAATTACGGGGATGCTCGTCGTTTCTTGTAAGCGTTAAAAACGTAGTTTTGGTACTTCTTAGGGTGTTAAGCGTCAAAATGTCCACAGCAGGAGCTTTTGCAGTACAATTTAGGGTATTGAACCGAAATAATATGACAGAAGATAATGTGTTATGTAAGAATATTTTCTCTTGAATACTCTATTATGCTTTCTCTGCAAAACAATATTTTCACTTTTATTTCTCATACGGCCCACTTATAATCTCAGAAGAATGCTAAAAGCTCAAACGATGGCAAGGTACTTAGGAAAGTCAACGTCAGGCCAAATGGCACATACTGCCTGAGCATATCCCTGTTTCCATAGCATGGATGAGGCGCCAATCCATTGCAGGGTTACCCCCAGCATTCAATTCAGCGCTACCCATTTATACACCTGGGTGGAGAGAAGCATTGCAAGAGTATTGGTAATAAAAGTGTCAATGTAATGACTCCAGCCAAAGCTCAAACCTGGACAGTTCAATCAGAAGTCCAGCGCGCTGACCATTTGGCCACCATGGCTAGTCTACTTACAATGGAAGCTGTCTTAAGCTCTCTTATTATTAATGGCTACTCTTGTAAGCGGACAATTCTATTTACGACAGCCTTCAAAAAGCTCTGTTTGAACTCCCAATTAAACAAGCCGTCTATTTACTCATCTCCGTAATTGGGCATTCCCATAAGCTGCCCTGGGGCCCATTTCTCGAAGGTCCCGAAATGTTTTCGCACCCGGAAAGCCGTAGCAAAATCTCAAACCTTATGATTACAGAGCTGTTTTATTCACGTATTCTTAATATGAACAGAAGTTCTCTTCATATAAGAAGTTTTGGGCGTATACACCTCTCTGTTGTTAGATACATATTAATTAAAAATGGCTTAACGGGCCCGAAAAGTTTCCGGGGCTTTCAAGAAACGGGCCCCTGGACACTTTGAGGGAGTATGGTTTAGTTTCCTTTGTTTTACGCTCGTGTCAGCAGGCACCCGAAAGGAATTGGGCCTGACTATGAAAGATACTCTGACATTTGTAAATTTTATCACTGCATTTTGTTACAGTGAGACTGTTAATGTTGGCTGCAATTATGATTTACTCTTAATTATCACTAAAGGCCAGTCGTAGTTCTGCAGTATACAGTACTGTATTCAGTTATCGCTGTAACCGCAGCACTCCACAAGGTAATAGAACAAAAATATCATTTAATATGCCAGTATTTCTTGTATTTACAATGTATTCAGTTAGCTGGGCATCCCTTATCCATCCCTTACACCCGTAGCGGCCCCTATGAGAAACATTCTTGAAAGCAGACAGCTCCAGTTACATGTGTGTGCAGGTAAAACGCCTCAAACGCGAATCAAAACTATCACTACATTAATATGAAGTTTCTCTAAAAGATAAACGCTACCTGAATATAAGACATGTTTTCAATTAATCGTGCTATTAAATGCTTAATATTCATAATTTCAGCTCAGGCCATTTAAATTAAAATGTCAACAATGGATAGTGGCAGTTTCGTGTGAGTTCCATCGACCGTCAAGTGCAAATAACGACAAAGCTAGGATGAATGACAAAATAAACCGCTTAATTTACCAACTTGAGCTTCCATCCGTAACTGCACGTAACCATCTATTGTCAAGGTTTAACAGGAAAGGCTTTGAGGTTTAAGGGTGTGACGGGGTTTAGATCGTAATTAAAAGATACACATGTTTATTATTGTGAAAGGCACCAAATTTGAATAACACTAAAACATTCGAAAACCTTTAGCTCATGTTTCCAGACAAATGATTTCTCTGATCCAGGCGTGAAGAATGTTTCGTTTTATAGGTAAGGTGAGCCCAAACACTTTGCATTCGCTTACCAGGAATAAGTCGGAACATAAAGAGCGTGCGCGAAATTGTGAGGGCCAATCAGTAGGGGCAACTTTTTTCATGCTAAGTAAAATTAAAGTGGTTCTGGGGAAATGAATAACGGTTCCCAATATAACCAGGCCCCACGTTTGAGATTGGTCAAGCCAATCTCATAATAAAACGGTGTTTTTGGTTTTAAAAACAAACAAGACGTAAACGCGCAGAATCATTGAAGTGTCGAGGAATTGCTTTTTGGCACATTTTGTAAACACTTCGTGTATACATTTATTCATTTACATTTATTCATAATACAATTTACAGCTTTGTTTATTCGAAGTATTTTATTTCAAAGTGCATCCGTTTATTTCTGCTACACGTAAATCGGTTATTACTCAATCAGACATCTGCAACAGTGGCGGATCGAGGCCTTGAGCTAGGAGGCGGGGGCTTTTTTTTGTTTCTTGCCCTGCCGGCTTTTCTTCTTCTGTGATTTTTTCCCCTAGATGCGCCACTGTACAAACGTGGAGCGAGAAAGAATGAAGCAATATACAAGCTAAGCAACTCAAGAATTATGTTTAAATTGAATTCCACGAAACGGAGTACATGTGACTAAGTTAAGTAAATAAGGGGCTAGAAAAATTACTATAGACTTTGTTTTACAGAGGGGAGGGGGTGTAGAGAATAATTTTACAGCAGCTATGCCAAGATATATCTGGCCTTGTCTGCAAACTAATGCGTTTTCGCCTCTCGTCCAAACAGATACAACAGGAGACGCGCGCGTCGTTTTCCAGTGGATCTATTGAAAACGGAGCCCTATCTTGTTAGTGTGGATAACGAAAATAGGCAAATTACGGTCGTACAGTTCTCTCACAGGGCATCAGCGTGTCAGTTTGCCAGCATTTCAGGGTGGACGGGTAAAATGCAGCGTAGACGGCAGCAGCGTGAACACAAAGATTTGGATACCAAAGAAAACCCATCATCGAATGGGCATCGTGTCGAAAACGCATGCGCATTAGCGAATTAAAGACGGGGCCTCAGTTTGCGATGAAACGTTGAGACTAAAATTCAGCTTGGAAAGTGCTCTTATTAAACATGTTTACGTGGAAGGCTTCTTACACGAGTTCTTGAAAATCTAGTTATTGTCTGAAAATTAAAGCCCTTTTTACTAAATTCCCTTACAATATATCAATCTACAATCAGCTCTGTATTTGAGCATAGATAAGCGGACGTCCATATTTGGAGTTATGTTGGTAATAAGTGTACCAGGATCTTAACGAACAAAGACTTTCCAGAAATCACCAGAAGACATTCCAACGAGAAAATCATCACATTCCCATCTTGAGCCTCCTGGAGTCAGCTTCCATTCATGTTTATATCCTTCTAAAGCAGGGAAAGAGTACAATCTATCTTGATCTGCACCATGCCCCCATTTGTTAATGTTATAGCTGTAACCATTATATCCCCACTGACCGCAAACTCTTGCTAACTTCGAGTTGTCATTCTCCATTCTAACAAACGAGCCACAGGCATCAGGCTGGACATCCGTCTGACCGCTGAAGTACTGGACTACAGTTTCACCGGTGCTGTTGGCGGCCGTGGTCACGTGGAACGTGCGTCCCTGTTGTTTACTGCAGTGGAATCTCAGTTGAGTGAAAGACAGGTGCGTTCTGAGCTCATTCATGGCACTCTTCGTCAGAAACGTCCGGTTATTGTGATAGTTGCTGATTCCTCTGTATGGCGTCTCTATTGACAACTGTGGTGTGGAGGATGAGCCGTCAAGCACAGCGTTGGAGACAAGAAGCCAGCCTCCTGAAATAAGACAAAGTTGAGTGGTCACGTGAACAAATAAAAGAAGTTGGGGATTATATTCGCGTATATTGACGAGGACCTCGATGAGTGCAATATTTATTTTGTTGTATTCTGAGTACTGATCTGATGCGAGTGGACTGGACTCGGTAATAATTCAGCGAGTTTCCAAGAATTTCCAAATGGAATAAAAGTTAATTAAAAATCTCCATTTCTGAAATTTAGTTACGACTTATTGTATGTTTAAAGTTTATCGATGTCTCGCGGGTTTTAACCTAGCGTTTTCTCTTGTTTTTATTTTTATCTCAGTTTGTGTCTCATTTTCTCTCTCGACAAAGCCTCGTGGATCCACAGATACTTCAACAATGTTACGACGCAATTTATTAGCAATAAGGGACACATAAGAGACGCCTAAAAAGCTGGTCTCACTTTGTTAAGTACAGCGGGAAGCTGTGGGGGCTTTGTGCACTCCTTCCTAGGATTTTAGAAAGTTTGCTCTCTTATATCATTATCCTTAACTTACCTCCGTCAGTTGTCATGTCACAGTAAACCTTGAAAGGGTTTCCACTCTTCTCAGGGTCGATCCAGTACTCGCCGTCTCCTTTGGAGTCTCCTGAGTCCCGGATGTCCTTACAGGAATGAGCAGGCTGATTGGAATTCAAACCTTTTATAGCTGCAAAAAGCAAAACATGTTTTAAATAAAACTTTTCATATTCTTTTGAAGCGGAAGAGAAATCTTTCTAAAACGTCCGCCAACATCGCTAACTCTAAAATAATAATGCTCTTACAAGCACTGCGCAGTACGCGGGCACCTTTTGAAACAAAATTCAACCTGCTTTATCAAATCATACAAAATATCGTTGCAAGACAAATTTTCAACACTCACGTTTTTCACATTTTTTCCCCTTGTATCCTGGATAACACTCTCCGTTCTTTGTTTGTTTGTTTTGCTCACGGGAAACATCGATGCAGGAGGCCTGTGTTGGGTTAAGATATGAAATAAACCGAATCGATAAATTAAGTAGTAACAACAAGGTTTATTAATATCCTAACCTGTTCGCCTTATATCAGTCTACGATAAGTCTATATTCACTCTTTGTAACCACACAAGCCAGCCTATGCCATTCTCAAAAATCGCACGAGAACAAGTTAGCGCGGGTGAAGTTAACTACAATAGAAAATGTGAATGTACGACAGTTTTCAACTGACCTGAACAGAGCCATAGTATGTAGAACCTTTCTTCCATTTAAAATCTCCTGGCTTCATCTGTCGGGTTTTGTTGTTAAGCTGACAAATGCGTCGTTGTATATTGTTGCCACCAGTACGAACGTTAAACGACTTGCAACTGTTATTTCCGATGCACTTAAGCTGGCATTCAAACTCATCAACAACAGTAACCGTGTCCGTGACATGACCAAGTAAGACATGATCTAAAAGGAGAAAAAAAATCAAATTTCTATTGATGCAAACTAAAAAGACTGAATAGAAGGAAAGAGGAGGGCTTCTTAAGTGTTTACTTACCGACTTGAGTTTCAAAAACGCTTCCACAAAAGTCTTTCTTTGCCGCTACAAATAACATTCCCAGGAGAATGTTGAGAGCTGCAAAGGCCAGCTGAGTTAGCCATGAACCTGCCATCGAAGGTGTTTTGTTGTGTGCCAGACTATAGCAGTTCAAAACGTTGTCGAGAAACGAGGTTTGACGCATCGATCATGTTTCTTTGTGAATTTGGGCCAAAGCGGATAAACTTTTATGCCAAGCCGTGTTTATCTATAATTAATAATAGACGTATTTAGTACCAAAGGAGATGCCTGCACGTTTTCATTTACTTTGTTTATATTTATATCAAGTTTAATGGTCCTTTTTAATTAGTTTGCTCTATTCTGAATGTCAAGATGACCACGCAATTAATTTAACTGTCGCATGGAGCCATAAAATATTTTTGATAGTACATCAAAGCTAGCGACTTTCTTTGCTTGAAAGTGTGCTGAGACTGCAATGAAATCATTCACTCACTTTTAAGGCATACAGCTGCTTTCATAAAAAAACCATCATGTTTATGGATGTTTTCCATAACGACATTCTAGAGTCCACAATTATATTTGTTTTCTTTCGCCAAAATTTCTTTGTGCTATCTTATAAATTAAGAATGTTACCGTATAAGGACTTAAAAATGCTCTAACATATCGTGACGCAATCATCAACCTTTTTGTCATGACAATTAAGAAATAGAAAACGTGCACCGTGTTTCTGTCGAGTTATAGAAACACGAGTGGAAGTTTGGGAGAACGAGAAATGCTGTGGGAACACGGGCCGCAGACGAGTGTTTCCACGGCTTTTTTTAGTTCCCCCAAACTTTCACGAGTGTTTCTATAACTCGATAGAAACACGGAGAACATGTTCTCTATTTCTTTTAGAAAACACCGCGACTAAAAAAAGGA